TTTCTGAAGAAGGGTCTAGGCCCGAAACGTCAGCCTACCTGCTCCTCTGATGCTGCTTGGCCTGCTGTGTTCATCCAGCTCTACACCTTGTTATGATAGAGCCTGCAGTTTTACCTCTTAGCAGACCCGACTGACTCGGTGCACTTCCATTCACAAAGCAGCCCATTGTTAGGCCTGTTTTCAGTTCCTGTTATCTTCAGCCTTATCCAATAGCTGTCATTAGTGAATATTCAAGGACTGTTGGGATGCTCCACAGCTCATATAAAATTAGTTCATCTAATTTTGATGTGTAATACATTTGCACTTTGGAGACATAGCTGGCCACACAACTTAGTACTGTTAAAATTTAGAATACAATTAACGTAACTTTTGTTCTTTTGGTTCTCCTACATTAGATACTCCGATGGTGATCTTACGTTGATATATCCTGATGGCAATTCATGCAGCTCCGGCTTCCGAAGAATGACAATAATAAACTTTTACTGTAATGAATCGGCTGGTAAGCTTAATACAAAACATATGATTTAATATGTATTTGCCAAGTGTGCAATCCATCTGAGAAGAGGACATGAGAAAAGTATATTGTAACACTAGCCTGTTACGTATTATTGAGATTATACTTTAGTTAGCTGCAGTGCAATTCAAACTTATTCTATATTAAATTTCCCAGTCAGTTAAATTTTCATTTGGTTTCACTGTTTTCTAAATGAGTTGATAATTTTCCGTGTGCTTGGTTGTTTAGAAGTCTGAAATGAAGAAATGCTGAGAAGGCTAACTATTTTTGGCCATGAACACACTCTCTTTGCCTTCTAATAGAAATATTTTATTGCACCACAATGACCATTGTATAGCCTGATATTGCAATAATTGTTTTTAGTAGTATTATCTAGATACAACCTTTAACTATCAATGTCAACTTTTAGTCTAGTACAGAGACAGAATAGCCAAGGTTCCAATTATAGAATCGATCATCTTTGCCAAATTGTTTGGGAGAATGAAGACAAAAATAGATAATCCATAGTGTAGAAGCTGGGCATTCAGCATAATTGATCTGTACTTGTTATACAACGCGCATGTATCTAGAGTGGTTGGGATAAAGACCTCTCCATTCTTTCCCCTACTCCTCATTTTTACCTTCTATCTAATGAGTGCATGACAACTTCTTCTCTTGCATCTTCAAAGCTATCGATTTCTATCACACCATGTGGCTGCAGGTTCCATATTCTCACCGGAGAAAAGCTACTTCCTTTTTGTTTTCAAAGTGTGATGCTTCACCCTCTGATAAATTCCTGGCATTTGTAGTGAGCAAGCTGTTGGAGGGGATTTGGAGGGACAAGGTTTACGTGTATTTGAAAAGGCAAGGGCTGGTTAGGGATAGTTAACATGGCTTTGTGTATGAAAAATCATGTGTCACTAATTTGAATCTTTTGAAGAAGAGATGAAGAGGACTGATGAAGTCAGAGCAGTAGATGTTGTTTATATGGACTTCAGTAAGGTGTTTAACAAGGTTAGATCACAGATACAGAAAGAACTAACCATTTGGATACATTCAGACTGGAGACCTGAGACCAGCTGTGTGCCACGTGGATCGGTGCTTGACTCACTGCATTTTGTCATTTATATGAAATGATTTGGATGTGAATATAAGAGGTATGTTTGGAGATGACACCAAAATTAGTGGTGGTATAGTTGCCAGTGAAGAAGGTTGCCTCAGTACAACAGGCCTTGATAGGATAGGCTAATGGGCTGAGGAGTGGCAAATGGAGTTTAGTCTAGATAAATGTGAGGTGTTGCAATTTGGAAAGGCAAATCAGGGCAGGACTTGTATACCTTAATGGTAAGGTCCTGGGGAGCATTGCCAAACGGAGACCTTGGAGTGCAGGTTCATAGTTCGTTGAAAGTGAAGTCTCTAGTAGACAGGGTAGTGAGGAAGGTGTCTAATACTCTGTATTGGTCAGTGCGTTGAGTACAGGCGTTGGGAGGTCATGTTGCGGCTGTACAGAACATTGTACGCCATTAGTGGCCTGATCAGTATTCAATTCTGGTCTCCTTGGTATCAGAAAGACGTTGTGAAACTTGAAAGTGTTCAGAAAAGATTTACAAGGACACGGCCAGGGTTGGAGGCTTTGAACTATAGGCCAAGGCTGAATAGCTGGGACTGTTTTTCTCTGGAGCGTTGGAGGCTGAGGGTTGACCTTCTAAGGTTTGTAAAATAGAGGGGCATGAATAGTCTAGATTAAGGGAGGTCAAAACTAGAGGGCATAAGTTTAAGGTGAGAGGGGAAAGATAAAAAAACGGACCTAGAGGGTAGCTGCTTCATGCAGAGGGTGGTGCCTGTATGGAATGAACTGCCAGAGGAAGTGGTGGAGTCTAGTACAATTACAACATTTAAAAGGCATCTGGATGGGTATATGAATAGGACGGGTTTAGAGGGATATGGGCCAAATGCTGACTGGGTTAATTTAGGATATCTGGTTGGCATGGGCGAGTGGACTGAAGGGTCTGTTTCCATGCTGTACATCTCTATGACTCTGCTTTCCATAATATCCCATCTTTCGAGCATTACAAATTCTCATTACCTTTTCAACAGCACATTGTTTTTTAAAAGTTAATCAGTTTAGCAAGGTTGCTACACTGTCTAATCTACCTAGGCCTCCGTCTCCACCGCCTCCTTGTCATGTCCAGCACTACTCAATTTGGCACTTTTCACTTAGATTTATCAATATTTATTTAAATATTTTTATATTTTGTGCACAAGTTCAGACTTGATAGTATTGCATTTCTCTAAATTATAAACCTGTTGTGAAATGCATTTTATTTCAGTAAGACATGTTTAAATTGAATGCAGTGCATCCGTATATACGTATATCAACTGAATGCCTCTGCATGCACTCATCAGTAGAGGCAAAAAGGAGTGGGAGTGATTCATTCAGCCTCTCAGGCCTGCTCCATCATTCTGAATTATTAGTGCAAAAGGAGACCATTTGGATCAATGTGTCTGCACCACTCACTAAGCGTTTTAACTTGATGCCAATGCCCTGCCCCTTCTCTGTAATTCTGCACATTATTCGTACACTCCATACCCAAACTACTCAGTGTGGAAAGAGTTTTTAGCACCCCACAGTTGCTTCTGTTGAAAATTACTTTAGAAACTGCCATTTAAGTGGGAACAGTTTCTCCCTATCTACCTCAACCAGGTCCCTCATGATTTTGAAAATTTTAGTCGAATCTGTTCTTGGCCTCTTCTTCCATGAAAGCAATGCTAACTTTTCCAGCCTGTCTTTATGACTGGTTCTGGGGATCAGAAATTTCATTCTCATAAACCTCTGCCGCTCTCTAGAGCAGTACACAGTTATCCAGCTGAGATCTAATCAGGGTTTCCCTCTCCCTGGTATTGCGCACCCCCTATTAATGATCCTAGTTAATACTGATGCTTTATTAACAATTTTCTTACCTGTTCTACCACCTTTTAATGACTTGTATACGTATACACCCCTAATGCGCATACCCCTCTGTTCTGATACACCCTTTAGCATAGTATCCTTTGTTTTGCATAGTTTTGCCTAGTTTTGCCATGTTTTTTGTACCAAATTGCATCACCTCACTTTTCAGCATCAAGCTTTATCTATCAACTGGATCATGGCTGAATCTTTACCTTGCCACAATTTTTCTACACTAATACCACAACCCTTGGTGTATTTAATATTAGTTTTTTCCAGCAGTTTAAACTCCCATTAATTACTGTATTTCTGTTCTTTGAAAAGCAAATGGTGGAAAAGGTGAACCAGAATTCAGTGCTGAAGTTGATTGCACATACATCTTTGACTGGGGTACAAAGTATGCCTGTGTGAAAGAAAAAGAAAACTTGCTCTGTCGTGCCTCTGATGGAAGGAAACGATATGACCTTTCACCTTTAACTCGATATGAAGGTAAGTTTTCAGCTTTTAGCCATTTCAAAGTTAATATAAACTTAAGTGTTTTTCTATTGGTTGTCAACTAATTTTTGATGCTGTAAATCAAGATTTCTTAACACAAGTTTTAGATTTGTACTGATTACTATGTGTTAGGCAGTCTGAACTTAATGTTATAAAGCACCTGCAGAAAACAAAAGTGAAAATAGGAGTTTTGATCAAAAACAGAGCCAAATAAATACTCCAAAATACACACACTTTTCAGTTTATGGATACTTCCACATTTCCTATTGATGTACAGAAGGCTACATTTGGTTACTCTTTCCTTTCCCATTTTTTTGTAACAGGTGTGGAATAGTAGAAATGTATAACGTTGAAGGGTGTAATTTGTCCTGTCATGTCTAAACTAGCTGGCACTTTTTTTAAAAAAAAAACTATTCTGCCAAATTCCACTACCTTGAACTATTTCTGTAACCTTGCAGGTCATGGTTTCTTAAGTAGATGTCCAAGTACTTTTTAAATGTAGGCCTGTGATACTTTCTGCCTATCACACTTCCAGGCAGTGAATTCAGGTTTCTTTCATGCACATTTTAAAAAGAAGTTTCCTTCTAGTCCTTCTGTCAATTATTTTAAATCTATGCCCCCTACTACGTAGGTTTTTCCTATTTACTCTCTCCCCTATAATTTTATACATCTTAATTCAGTCACTCCTCAACCTCCTCTGCCCCAAGGAAAGTAACCTCAGTTTGTCTAGTCTTTGCTTATCACTCAAATTGTGGAGTCCTGGCAGCATTCTCTTAAATCTCACCTGCGTTCTCTCCAGTGCAATCATACATTTTCTGTGATGTGACCAAAACTACTGATACTAACCCCAGTGCAAATTTCGCCCTCTGAAATCATTATAAATTTGAGATTCTAAGCTACTAGAGTGATTACATAACAATTGCTGATTGTTGTAAATGCCTATCTGGTTCACTTCTAGGATGGTAATCTGTTAATTTTACCTGGTCTGACCTACTTATGGTCCCATACCCACAGCAATGTGGTTGATACTTAAAAGCCCTCTGAACTGGCCTAGCAAGGCATTCAGCTCCTGGGCTGGGAAATAGATGTTGGCTCTGGCCCACATCCTATGAGCAAATCAAAAAAAATATTGTTTCCCTCAGTTGATTCCAATCATTTGCCTTTGAAGTAAAATTCACTAGCCTATAACTACTTTGAAAAGGCAATAAGAGATAATCTAAGTGGTCCAGCAGTGCCTGTTCACTAGTCTTTTAATGCCATATTGGTGCTCAAGTAGGATTGAAATATGATGGAGAATCCCTGCAATTTCCTCCCTTCTTGTAACAATCTGGGATAGACTTCATCTAGGCCTGTTGATTTATTTTCAAAGATGTCAAATCTTGAATGTTGCCTTTTCTTGCAGTGTTTATTTAACATTTCTGACATGTCCTTCATTTCATTTGATAATGTTTGCATTTGAAGCTATAGCTGAGATTTGACCTAATCAGTACCTACCTAAAACCAATGTATGTTTCAAACTTAAATGAGTTGAGAACTGTTTTTAAATGGTGAACTGCTGTACATGAAACAATTTAAAGCCATCATGCAATAGATTGTGATGTAGCTTAGTGTTGGTATAAATTACTATAAGCAACTTTTATCATAAATTATTGGAACTTGCATTAATATACAGCAAAAGAGGTTCCTGAATCTGACAACACTCACAATTGGGAGGCATTGGATAGTCTGGTGAAATCTGATCAAAAACGGATCTATATTAATGTGTGCCATAAGATACTTCAGGATGGCGGAGCTGTAGGATGTCCTGAAGATGCAGCTATCTGTGCTGTTGGTAAGTTCGTCAGTCACTTGTCATAAAACTTAACTTTTAAATACATAATGACTGCCTTGAGCAGGCACTAAGTGGCTTGCATAGAAATGTTTCCAATACCTTGCAGTGTTTTGCATTAGATGATGGCTTACCAAAATAATAAGTAGAAATTGGTACATTTGTAAGTGTGAGCTCCTCCACACTGCAAAAATGAGAACAAATATTCTAGAAATGAACAATTTAGTTCGTCTTTAGAGAGATCAGATTAACTGTTTGCTTCTGGTGTAATGTTTCATGAAATTTTTGACACCAGTTGGGAACACATACGGCAATCTTGTTTTTATTTTTTTAATGTGTGTCGTTAATAAAAGTCTGCCATGGTTTACAAGAATGAGGTCAAGAGAAAGGTATATAAGAAAAGGTAAATGCAGAACTATGCTGCAGTTTGGTAAACAGGCCATTGAATAGTCCTATTCATTAGTGTTCTAATCAAGGAGGAGACTTAATAAACCTGTCTATTATGTAAATAGGTTCATACTAATCTGCTTTCCTGTAGCATTTTCTACTTCTACCTTGCAGCCCTGGGAGTTTCTTACTCTGGCTTGAAGGAAAAATATCCATATTGTCCTCAGGACAGGACTTGTGTCCAAAAGCATCTCATTTGAGAAACAACATACAAGGGAAAGAACTCTAATAACCTTGCTACACTGATATTTAAAAATTTGGTGACAAGGCCAAAAGTTTAAAGAAAGTTTGCTCCTCAATTTAAAACAAAAAAAAGACCTGTTGAATTTTGTAAAAACAGCACTCCTAAGGTTTTTGTTTGAAGATCAAATTATTCCAAAAATAACTTATCTCCTTCTAGGTGAAAATAACAAAAAGAACCTCGGAAAATTTGTTTCATCCCCTGAAAAGGAAGGCAATGATCTTCAACTTGTGTACTCTGATGGTGAGCCATGTGGAACGGGTGGTCAAAGTAAAACTATCATCACTTTTATATGCAGACCTGGTAAGTTTGTGTGCATCTTGTTTCTGTCTTCCGAAAATGTTTACACATTTGTTTTCATAACCCTTGCCTAATATTTGACACTGGCTGTTTGAATATGCCAGAGTTTTCCCAACACTTCAACATGTGAGAAGTTTAGGTAATTTGTTAGATTTTTGATTAAAGTGGGACCATCTATTCTAACACTTGAACAAGCCCAGTCTATTGAAAATAATTAGATCTTCCATAACATTTTGATGAGTTGATGATTTCATGGAGTGGGAATATTGCATTATGCCAAACAGAGGCACTGATTGTTGCCACCAGTGTTGATCAATAAAAACAGGTGCCTGAAGTCTAGCAATACTGAAATGTGCAAGGATCCGTCCAGGGTTCAAGACACCTAGTGGGGTTGGCAAATTTGCCCTAGAAAACTCTTAAATATCCTGCAAAAATTCAGTGTTGGGATCAAAAGAATTGAAGTATGTTTTTCCCCTCTCCTGCCTTATTTTGCAATGAGCATGGGAGATGAAATCTTTGAGCAACTGCTCCTCCAATCTCCGATTTATCCATCCTATGTTGATGCTCTAGCTTCTCCAATCATGGGTCCCATCGCTCCTGTTGATTTTTAAAAATTTTTCTGACCATGTCCATTATTTTTTTGCTAGACTGTCCAGTTTTCTTAAATGGCTGTATGGTGTGAATGTTGAAGGCCAGACCTGAAATAGATGAATCCTTTCAGCAGTTTAAGAACCAATTTGCTGATAATTAGCTGCAGGTGATGTTATCTAAGCTGCGTTTCTGACCAGCTCTCACTAATGGTCAACTAAGCAGGGCTCCAACCTTGACACACAGACAGCACAGTAGCCCTTGTGCAGTACACAATGTTTGGTGAGTCCAGTTGATAGATTACTGGGAATAGCTGTTAAGTTTGCCTGAGCAGGTACCAGCTGCTACGGCACTGCCTGTTGGAGCTACTGTGCTCTGCCAATGGAGGTTTGATAGGCAGAGAGTCTGGCTTCTGGTAGATCCACCTATAACTCTGTCCACACCCAGTTTCAACTGGGGTGTTTGCCCCTTGGAGTTGCTGACCCTGTTCACCATCAGTCCAATGTCTCTTTGTCCCGCAATACTCTAGTGGGGGGAAGGAGAGAGGTGGTACTGTACTAACCTGTGGCCCTGTATTATTTCTGTTCTGCAATGTAGAGGAATTTTGACTTCTGTATTCAGCAGTATTTTAATGGAGCGTTTCTGCAAACATGGGTGGGATTTGATCATTGGAAAAGGATTCCTTTGGTATTGAATGGAAATCCTCAGACCTTGGCATTAGGGTGTTTCTGTGATTTTAGGAAATGCTGAGATTTCAGTTTAGGGGTTTGAGAATATGTAGTGTGCCTTAGGTTCTTGAAGTGCAAATTGGTTCCTTTTGGTTCTCTTCAATGGAGCTTGTGTATGGAGTTATCACGAGTTGCTAGGTTATGACTGTTTTGGAGAGAAATTATATTTAAGAGCATGTGTGGAACACGGCAAGCAGGTGAATGGAGCCTAAACTGCCAACAAAATAGTGCATGACAACAGTTCAGGTAATGATTACCAGAGTGTGACAGGAAAGGACAGAAGATAAAACTCGAGTCCACCAGTGTGCAAGACCAGAGTTTGCAAAAATGATTGGAGTTTAAGGCCTTGTACCTGAATCTGTGCAGTACTTTCATCAAAAGGTAATTAACTCATGGCACAAATGGTGATAAATGTTACCTGATAGGATTCACTGAGACCTGATTGAAAGACAACCATGATGAAGGGTCCCCAATCTGAAATGTCAACTTTCCTGCTGCTCTGATGCTGCCTGACCTCCTGTGTTCCTCCCAGCTCCACACAGTGTTGACTCTGACTCCAGCATCTGCAGTTCTTGCTATCTCTGCTAGGACAAGATAGTGGGGTAGCTGTGTTAATTAAACATGACGTTAGTTGAGGATAATGTATTTAACTTTGCTTGAAAAGTTAAGATGTAGAATCATAACGTGTGAGTAGTTTCTAGCTGCTGCGCACTCCCCCACCCTACAACAGCAAGAAGTGGGGAGATGTATATAAGAAATTTGAGTAATAATTTTGCATGACTAATCTACAGATTTGGAGAATCGCAAAGGAAATCTGTATCCTAGGATCTTGAAAAAAGTGATGGCGTGGATAGTAGGTGCATTGGTTACAAATGTCCAAAGTTCCTTAAGTTGTCAAAAGGTTCTAGCAGAGTGAAAAAGGACTAATGCAACACCTTTATTCAAGAAAAGAGATGAGAAACTAGAAACAGTTAACCTAACATCTGTCATGGAAATAAAATACTAGAATCATTGTAAAAGAGATTATAGTAGGCTAATTAGAAAATCATAATCTGACCAGGCAGATACAATGTGGCTTTGTTAAAGGGAAATTGTCTAACTGCTCTGGAGTTTTTTGATGGAGTAACATCCATGGTGGATAAAAGGGAACTTGTGAGTGGGGTGTGCTTGAATTCCCAAGAAGCATTTGATAAGGTTCCACTGCAAAATGTTAATACACGCAATAACAGCACAACAGACTACCATAGGTAAAAGACAGTTAAGCAAACACAAAGCAGTGTGTATGGGTATAGACAGGGATCATTTTCCAATTGACCAGCCACTAGTTTAGTGCCACAGGAATCAGTGCTGACTTTCGACTGTTTGCGTCTAAAATAATTATTTGGATGAAGAGACCAAATGTGTCCCAGCTAAATTTGCCAATGTTACCAAGATGAGTAGGAAGTTTGAGTTGTCAAAATGAAGTGTGAGAATTTGCGAATACAAGTAGACAGGTTGTAAGTTGACAATAGATGTGGCAGATGGAGAATAATGTGGAAAATTGAGAGCCTGTCTGTTTAGATGGGGAGAATAGAGAGCTGTATACCAGTTGAATGGAGAGAGATTTTAGAACGGTGATGCAGAGACCTCTTGGTGTCCCAGTATATGAATTGTGTAAAGTTACTATGCAAGTACAGCCAATGATCAGGAAGTTAAATGAAATGCTGTTATTTATTGCAAGGTGAATGAAATATAAATGAGAAATTCTACTGCAGCTAACTAAAATGCTGGTGAGACCATATCTGGAGTACTGCATACAGTTTTGGTCTTTTTCTTTTCTGATAAAAAAGATAGTTGAATTAAAGCACTTCAGAGAAGGTTCACTTATTTTTGGGGTGACTTGATTATCTATGAAAGGTTGACTAAGCCTATACCCAAGAGTTTATTGGAATGTAGACAAGATCTTGAGCAGACTAGATAGGAGGGTACCCAGGGAATGTTTTCTTTTGTGAGGAAAATCAAAGCTAGGGTTCAAATTTTAATAGTGTCACTTTTAAAACACAGGAGACTTTTTATTTCTCTCAAATAATGAGTGTAGAATCCTTCCCAAGAAGGTAGTGGAGACCGGGCCTTTAAGGTTGAGAGTTTTATTATTTTGATGGACAAGTTATGGGATGCAGACAGGAATTTGAACCGGAATGTGGTAAGCCACAATCCGATCAGCTGTGTACTTAATGAATGGTACAACAGTCTTGAAGAACCAATAGCCTACACCCACTCATAAGTGTGATGTTCCTTGTACCTTTTTTAAAGCATTTTGTGAAAATTTCTGGCTGTAAGTTAATGAATTGAAACTTGCCAAGTGTAAGTGCACAATTTCTAGTTCATGTCTGAGTAGATTTTCCCAAACAACCCAACTAACTTCAGTTTGTACTTTAGTATTTCCAAGTATTTATACAGTTTCCAAAAATTACGAACAAAATATTTTCGTAATCTGTTCACCACAGTCTTGGTTTCTTTGACATTTAAGACATAATGACAGGTGTCTGTGTATTTACTAGTGTTTTTGTTTATGGGAATTCATAACAGACCTCCTTACCTCAGCCGGAAGTAAATGAAGTATTCAACAATTTTGAATTTTGCAATTTTAATGATGGCAAAAATATTATTCACTGTTGTTACGACTGCGCAGTTGACAGCAAATTCTGATCTCACAGACATAGTTTCATTTGAACTCTGGAGTCTTTGGTAGCAGTTCCCTACTTCTCAGGATGGGTCGCTGAAATGCCCGTAAATAAATTACTTAGAAATAACTTAAATTTAAAACCTCATGACAGTTTATTCTCTTATGGTGAAAAGCCTTGAAGATTCACCAAATTGAATGAAGTGTAACTGGTTTTCGGTGGCACTTTAGAATCTTAATTATTAACAACCTCTCTAGTCCTGAAAAACTAATTATTTGCTTAGAATACCAAATTTCTTATGATAAATTCCAAAGATTTTTAATTTGAATTTGTGGCATTTCAGATTCTACGTGAATCTCTCATGCCCTACATTTTATTTTGCTCTCTGTAGATTGATTACAAGGATCATTGGGGTCATTTTATTTTCTGGTTTGATGTTTAAAGTTCTTCAACATGACTGGCTTCTGTGAGTGCTTGATAAATGCTGTTGGGATGCTAGACATCCCCTTTAATTGGTGTTGGACTCAAATTAGTATCAGAACGATTCAAGTTTGCGTCAGAGATCACTAGGCCTTTGTGGGCAGCTTTCTTCAATGTTGATGGCAAGTTGCTTGACTGCGCACCAATCTGGGCCTGTGGTTTCTTTCTAGTGTTCTTTACCGCCTCAAGGTTTTGAAATTCTCAAATCCTTAACTTGGGAGTTGGGGGAACAATTTTCAACTTGTTGATTAACTATTCGGGGAATTCGATAAGCTGCATGCATCTATTATGCAAATTGACTGGGAATTTACTCCAGTCAATTCTTAAGTAAAAATGGTAAATTGAAATTGGCTTTGAAGCTTCTCCAGTTTGAGATGTCATATTTACGATTTTTCTAACTTTTGGTTCATGTGTTGTAGTTTTGTCTGAAATCACTAGTTTTTCTTAATGAATGTCATCAAAGGACCTGAAATCATGTATTGGGAACGCTTGGTGTTGGTGGCATAGTTATAAGTAATTAACCTCAATGTATTAAGTGCATAGTACAAAAGAAGTTAATAGTAAAATGGGTATTTCAAAGCAAATTAATACCTAAGTAGTATGCAAAATAAAAATAATCTAAATAAAGTTGCTACTACAATAACAGATCTTTTGTCCTCAGGGGATCTGGAGAGTCCTCCTATCCTGAAGCCTGGGATCAATGAATGTTTGTATGAACTAGAATGGCATACAGCTGCAGCTTGTGCTTTATCCAAAACTCAAGGTGATGAATGCAGGGTTTCAGATCCAGAGGCTGGTAAGCATCTTAAAAACTAAAGTGCAATTTGGATTTCTAAATTTATTCTCCCAGTTGTGTACAAGCAAGCATTAATGATGAAACAGGTTAAAACAGTCATAATTCTTTGGTTATTTACGACCAATTGAGGTTTGTTGTTGAATGTCTATTATTGGTACTGTTGTAAGCTCTAAAACAAAACAGCCAAGAGGAACAGGCCTAATGTTTCGTATAATGCCTTCTTTCCTCAAGTTCACCAGATGTGCACAATTATCCCAAACAGTAATAAAGTCAGTGTTGTATTATAGTTCCCTATTGCTATTTTTGCCTGAAAAGAATGTTTTTTGAAACCCAAGCACTAATTCTTTAAATGCTAGCCCTTGTTTTTATTGTTAAACCTGTTGGTGTTTTTCCAGTTCACCACAGCAAACATCCTCCTCGTGCTTTCATAATTGCTTTTATTTAGATTTAGACCCTAGTTATGGATTGAATTACGTTATTGTTGAACTTGATGGAAAAGACTATCATACAATATTCGATATTCCTCAAAGTTGTTTTGCATCAAGATTATTAATTAGCCCTTTCTCATTGCATGGCACTAGATCTAAAATAGCTTTTGCCCTTGTTGGTTCCTCAATATACTATCTAGAAAACTCTCTCAAACACATCCCAAAAAATCGTCATTTGCAATGTTATTCCTAACTCTTTCTATGCAGCTCGTATGCATATCCTTCCTGTTTCTCACTCCATGGAAACAGATTTTGTATCTTGTTCTTCCAATCGGAGATCCTCTCACTGATACTGACCCCAATCCCTTATCAGCAATACTGCAGCTCTTTTCCTTTCAATGGTAGTCACGATGTGGGGGTACTGGTGTTTGACTGAGGTGGACAAGGTCGGAAGTCACTGCCTATTGATCTCTTGCCTGTAAATTCAGTGCGGGCATGCTCTACACTTCACCTGACAACGGGGCAGCACTTTAAAAGCTTGGTTTCAAATACACCTGTTGGATTATATAACCTGGTGTTGTGTGACTTCTGACCTTTTGCTTTCACATATCCCTTCTAAATGGTGAATATCCTTTAATATTCAGTTTCTAATCTTTGCCACCCTGCACATCTCCTCCATAATCCCAGTTTTTAAAAAAGTACCAATTTTCTTCTGCAAGTGTCACTGATTTACCCATCTTATTAATTGTATGAATGGAAGACAACAGTGTAGCATGTTGCAATTGGAAAGAATAGGTTTTCCAACCAACCAGGGTACGTAAGGTTATATGCATGGACCTTGCTTATTTCTCATCTGCATAACATCCCTCACCAACATCACAGCGTTAGCTTCCACCTGTGCTTTGACAAGCAGCTCTGCCTCCACCATACCTCTCTGAACCCTCCACTTTGCTAAAATATCAAGCTCTTCATCAGTTTTTTTTTGTCAGCAGTAAGTACATTTGGTAGTTTGAAAATTATAGGTAGAAACTAAATGACAAAGGTCCTATGGCTCAGCATGTCAGGGTCTATCTATTATAATTCAATTTTCCAGCACTTGGCCCATGGCCTTTTCTGCTTTGGCATTTCAACTGCTCATCTGAATAAGTCTTCAATGGTTCAGGGTTCCCAACTCAATCATCCATCCTTTTTAGAAACTCTTCTCTGCTTCAATATTAATTCATTTCGAAGCCCGTTGAAGATGTCTGAAATTAGACAAGATTTACTTAATCCTAGTTCATGTACAGAATGCAATATTGCAAAGACCAGCCTCCTCGCTTGCTAGTCCTTGCTGCCCCAAAAGTCTGTGCTCAAGACACTGATTCAGTGCCCTCCAACTGCATAAACATTAACACTTAATACAAGTAACAACATTGACTGGTAGATTAATTGCTTGTTTTATTGTGCCTGCTTTTAAATAGTTTAAAGCTATTTGTTGATTCCTTTCTTTTCTTAAAAAAAAAAATTCTGTTGTTTGTTCTGTTTATGCCTAGGCTTTGTGTATGACCTTTCGCCTCTAACCAAACAAAATAGCAGCTACCAAGTTAAATCTGAGACATACAATTTCTATATAAATGTATGTGGCAATGTGTCCAAGGATGGCTGTGAGAAAAACTCTGGTGCTTGTCAGGAAGCTCCACTGTAAGTGACTATTGTGATTTAGTGCAACCAGTATGTTGTATGAATTTGCTTGTGAATATTGGTGCGCTAAATGTATATTGAATGATGAAGACTATATTGTTAGTATAGGAATTTATATTCTGTCATTTTTCTAAATGCAACAAGTTAATTCCCCAAAATGCACATTCATCTAGTTCAGATTTTATAAAGTAGCTATGGATTTAGGGGTTGTTTCAGAGATTGTGTTGATATTTGGTGTTATTCTGGAGTAATTGTATGTATTGCTAAAACTGGTGGAGTGTTTCACCTCCAGGATCATACTGAAATACAAAGCTAACTTCAAGCTGCTCTCTTCAACCTCTCCTATCTCCTCTACCCCATCTCCAATAGCAAGTAAAAGACAACTGTCTTTAATTGCTGTATAGCCAAGATTAAGACCGTCTAATCAGCTGCCTGTCACTTCTGTCTCTTCCCCTAGCCTCCACCCCCAACCCCCAACCAAACTTCCTCTAAGGGCCCCCTATAAGAGACGATAGTTGTTTCTCCTTCAGTTCTATGCCCCATGCCTTTCAAATCTGAAGTCATGAGCCCCTTGTCCTAACCTTTGCATTACTGCAAGCTACTGTACCATTTCTGACCTCCCATATCCCCTCCAGTACTTGAACGCATTGTCATCTCCCAAACAGGTGCACATCTCTTCCAGAATTTTGTATTTGAATCCTTCCAATTGTTCTTGTCCTGCTATATTCTGAAATGTCATTTAATAAAGTTATAAATGACATCTTATCTGACAGTGAGAAAGGCATACTATCCCACCTCATCAATCTCAAAAGCATCCATTGACAAAGTTGATCACTCCAACCTCCTGTAATTTCTCTCTTCTATCCAACTTGGTGAAAATGCATTTGCCTGATTCCATTCCTTTGTGTTTATTTGCAGTCGGAGAATTGCCATCAATTGCGTCTCTCCTCACTTTTCAGTTAATTCTAGTGCACCTTGATCTATGTTTGGATCCCTCCGAATTATTGTGTATATATTGTTGCTCTGCGTTATCAACTGAAAACACATCAGATTCCATATATAGACAAGCAGGAGGCTGGAAGTACACAGCAGGCCAGGCAGCATCTGGAGGAAAGGAGCAGGCAATGTTTCGGGATTACCCTCCTTCAGGTCTTCCATATATACACCCAGCTCTGAATCTCTAGTACCCCTCTCAACATCTCTACTGTCTCTCAGTTGTCAGACAAGCAATATTGGATGAGCAGAAATTGCCTCCAATTCAATTTTGGGAAGATGGCAGCCGTATTATGTATCCCTGCTCCCTCTCTGGATTTAACCCTCTGGCCTGGTAACAGACCAGCCACAATCTTGGAGGTACATTTAATCTAAAGATGAGCTTTCTGCATGGTTGCTCAAACCACTCATTTCCTCCTCTAATATTTCCAGTCTGTTCTGCTCCTCTATGTAGCTTAGTGTCATTTTTGTTTTCTCATAACACTGAAGTAGTGCCATGAAATTTACATTCAAGGTGCTATATAAATGCAAGTTGCTCTATTTCTGCTGTTCATGAAAGCCACTCCTCTCACTTCTGATGAATAGAAGGCCAGAAAAATGTTGAAATCAGTCTTTGTTGTCCAGTTCATACCTGCTATGTATACCTGGTTTGAAGCTGATCATTTCCTATTTTTGTGTGTTCTAATACTCTGCTTGATCGTCAGTGATCAAACGTTTTGGAGCCTAGGAGAATCTAATTCCAGATTGTCATACTATGATGGGATCATTCATCTGGTCTATACAAATGGGACAGAATACAACAATGAGCAGCACATTCAACGATCCACACTCATAACATTCCTGTGCGATCGAGATGCAGGCGAAGGACATCCAGAATTTGAGGTTAGTTATTAGACTTCTGTATGGGCTAGTTGATATTGTGTCAGCACAGTGTCCTTTCAATGATGCCTGTTTACTACTGTTTCCTGATTTCCAGGTTAGAATTTTAGAAAGAAATTAGATCCTATATTAGGATCTTTGGTTCATGTGTGAACTGAAAATTAATTTGTCAACTTGTTAAAATCTATTAATGGGTGAATTATGGTTGAAGAGTGCTGATTTAACAAAAAGGAATGCTGTCTGATGAGCCATTGCAATAACAGTAGGGGAGTGAAAACATTTTTAGCAAATTAACAAAATTGTGCATTCACTTATTGAAGTAGGTCATTTTTGAATAGGATTTGGTAAGAAACCAACTCTCAAGTCATGCATCTAGACTCATTAATAGCTTCATTCCAAATTCCAAAGTTTCTCATTTCCAAATTGTGATGAATAGGAACTGCAATGTTAGCATTTATTTCAAGAGGGCTAGAATACAAGCATAAGACACTGGTCAGACTGCATTTGGAATATTGTGAGCAGTTTTGAGCCCTGCATCTAAGGATGGATGTGCTTGCCTTCGAGGGGTTTACCAGAATGATCCCAGGGATGAAGGGCTTGTCAAATGAGGAGTGGTTGAGAGCGCTGGGTCTGTACTCGGAGTTTAGAAAGATGAGGGAGGATCTCATTGATTCTTACAGAATGCTGAGAGGCCTGGATAGAGTGGATGTGGAGAAGATGTTTCCACTAGTAGGAAAGGTTAGGACACGAGAGCACAGCCTCAGTGAAGGGACAACCCTTTATAACTCTGACACACACTCAGTTCTATAGCATGAAACCAGATT